AGATGAGCACCTTGCGGCACAGGGAGAGCAGGCTGCCTTTCAGTAGAGCCGCCTTCGCTGCCGAGTTGTGCCGCGAGCCGAACAGGATGCGCGTGGCCAGCAGGTGGTTCTCGGAGCGCTGCAGGATGCGCACCAGGTCCTCCAGATCCGCAGGCGCCCCCCCGCCCACATTCGAGCCAGAGGGGCCGGAGTAGGCCCCCGTACCTCCGCCTCTGCGCTGCACCTCTCCCAGTGCGTAGCGCATCAGCGGCATGGCCACCACGGATGCCTGCATCAGGATGCCGTCTCTGGCGAACACGCCCTCGGACAAAAGACCCGCCGCCTCCGCGCGCGCCTTCTCGCCCCCAGCGCCTGTAACGGAGCGGAAGCTGGCGCTGCCGCTGGAGTTGCCGCTGGAGCTGCTGGGAGTAGAACTGAATGCAGACGCACAGGCGGCCGCGCCCTCCACGCGCTCGTAGACCGCCAGTACCGTGTCGGAGCCGCTGAGGAGGTCCAGCGTCCTGCCCAGGTAGCGGCTGGGGCAGGAGGAGACGGAGCACTTGAGCAGGTCGCGGGACAGCTGGAAGGAGGCCATGGGGAAGGACAGGTACTCGGGAACCTGCCCCCCACCTCCTCCTGCAGCTCCACCCAGGCCCATGGGCAGGCTGGGCAGAAGCACGCAGTCCTCGGGGCTGATCTGGTTAGCCTTGCGGGCAGCGATAGTGCACAGGGTCACCGCAGCGTCCAGCAGCAGCGAGGCCTCCTCCGCCGCCTCCGCGGACTGGTCCACCGCATCCACGGGAGTGCCGTAGGGCGTGTCGCCGTGTGCGGCGCTGGTGATAACGCTGGAGGCGTGGATGAGCTTCTCCCGACTCATCATCCGCGCCACCTCCACCGCCCTCTCGGTCTGCCCCGCCTCCACCAGCAGCTTCATAACCGAGTGCGTGAAGTAGGTCGCGCACACACCCAGCAGCACGCACACTTTGCGGATAGGCGCGGAGAGCGGCGGACTGGTGGTTAACCCCTGGTTCTCGTCTGCCAGCATCTGCTGCACCTTGGCCCTGGCCACCTTCGCGAGCACCGCCTGGCACACCTCCACGTTCGCCAGGTCGCACACGCACAGATAGATGCCGTGCGCCGTCTGCAGGGCCGAGATGCGCTTGAGGGAGAGCAGCAGCTCGGAGCAGATCCAGCAGCAGGCAGTGCCCAGCACACGCTGCCTCTCCACCCGCCCCGCTCCCCCTACACCCAAACCCATGCTCACGCCCACACCTGCTGCAACACCTGCCCCCGCCTTTGCCCCCGCCCCCACGCTCTCCCATTCTTCACGGGTTACGTCGAGGTAGTGCAGAGTGAGCACGATGGCCCCCCGCACCAGCACCTCAGCGCTCGCCCTAGCCTGCACCTGCTCCTCCCTTTCTGCCTGCCTCCCCATCCCCTGGGCCCCCGGCTCGAACAGGATCGAGTCGCTCTCCTCCTCCAGCTGATCGAGTAGGAAGGTGAGCGCGTCCTCCACCACAACCAACGCGCGCTCGGGCGGCAACAGCGACAGCGCCCTGTTCAGCTCCGCCTCCTGCGCCGCGCCCACACCCGGGTCCGTGGCGCGCTGCACGAGGGCGCGGGTGAGCACGGCAGATAGGTCGACGCTGTTCGAGCCAAGAGAGCAGGCGAATTCTACCGCGTCGGGCAAAGCGGATGGGCGGTGCGTGCTGGCGGCGATGATGGCCACAACAGTGCGGATGTGCTTGCCGTTCCGGGGCTCGAAGCTGTGCACGCCGTAGCTGGCAGCCAGCGCTTTGATCTTCAGCAGCCGCGTGGCCTCCGTGAGTGCGTCCCTCGTGGCGCCATCTACGTAGTGCGCAGCGGCGGCGGCCAGCTCGCACAGCAGGGTGGTGGACTCCACATGCAGGACCACCGGCAGTGCGCCCTTGGTGCCCGTAGCTGTGCGCTCAGAGAGCACCATCTCCTCCGCCTCCTCTCCGTTGAAGTGTGTGGCGCTGTTCAGCGTAATCTGCTCCAGCACGGGCATCTGCAGCAGCGTGAGCACCATCTTGGCCTGCGCGTTGCGGTCGCGTATGGAGGAGGCCACCTTCACGAGGCGAGAGAGGCTACACGTCTCGCTATGGTCCATGTCCATGTCCGTCTGCGCCTCTGCCTCTGCGTCCGCCCCCGCCAGCACGATGCGCGTGGCGATTGACTCGGTGATCCAGCCCATCAGCAGCGCGTCCGCGTCTCCGCCGAAGCGAGTCACCAGCGGCACCACTGCGGTGCGCAGATCAGCCACCAGCGCGCCCTCGTCCAGCGCATCGATGCGGTCGAACACCAGCCCCCTTAGGCCTAGCTCGTCCACCTCCGCCAATCGGATGGGGTCGTCCCACTGCTCCCACAGGGCGCGCTGCAGCACCAGGTTGCTGTGCAGCAGCTGCAGCTCCTGGCTAAGGGAGAGGCTTTCGGGACTGCCCAGCGGCACTGCGGCCATCAGATCACTCGCAGCGTCTACGAGCTTCACTGCGTCGAAGGGGCTCTCCCGGAGCTCCTCTGAGCGTCTCGCCCTCTGCGCCAGCTCGCGCGCGATCGCCGTGAAGGCTGCGCTGGGCCCAGACGCCCCCGAGGAGCAGTTGAAGGCGCCGAATCTGGGAACGAGGCCCTCGCGAACCCAGGCCAGCACGTCCTCCACCGCAGCGCTGTCGGGCAGCAGACGCAGCGACTGGGCGGCGTCAAGGGGCAAAGGGCCGTGGATGCACCGGTGGGCCACCAGCAGCGCACGGCGGATTTGGCCTGTTCGCAGCATGGCAAACAGAGACTGGCCGATGCTGGCAGGCAGCAGCGCTAGCATCCCTCTGCGCAAGAGCTCCTCCCGAGCAGCTCCAGCCATAGCGCCGCCTGAAGCTACCCCCGTCTCGGCCCCCGTCTCGGCCCCCATCTCGGCCTGGGCGTGGTGGGCCTTGGCCTCGCAGGAGAGGGGCTTGTCGCTGGCCATGGACAGCTCCACGGTCTCGCACAGGTGGTGCAGGCGCAGAATCTCCAGCTGGCACCGCTGCTTAGCCGCGGGCTTGGCGCCACAGCGCTCCACGGCCAGCTCAGCTGCGAGCAGCACTGCTGCGATACGGCCCTGTGTGGGATGGGGCAGCAGCAGCAGCAAGTGCGCGAGGGCCACTGAGTCCACGCCACCCGCAGAAGCGCCCATCGCTGCCAGGCAGCCGTCCACGTCGAACGAGCCACTCTCGCTACTGCCGCCGCTCAGTCGGGCGCGCAGCACTGCGGCGGTGGCTGCACCTAGAGCAGCGAGCACCCCCTGCCCCTGCATCTGCGTGAGAGACACGGCCTGTCCCTGCGCCTGCACCAGGAAGGCGGCTGTGAGAGCTGTGGCGGCTGAGCGGAGGGCTGAGCTGCAGCGGGTGTATATCAGTTCTCCCTCCCGCAGTGCCAGGTAGCCACCCTTGTCTGCCGCCGCCTGCGCCCGCCCCGTGTCTGCGCGTAGGGTGGACATGGGGCCGGGCGTCGCACCAACCGCGGGCATGGCGACGCGCAGGTCCAGGGCTCCTGCGGTGAGTCCCATCAGCTTGCAAGCGCCGCCCAGACAGGCCGCCCACACGAGCTGCACGCCGGTGTGGGCGCTAGATGCAGGGGAGGTAGCCGATGCAGGGGAGCGCACGGCCACCGTTACGAGTGCACTGACCGCCACATACGTCGACCCACCCTCTTGTCCCTCCTCTCCATTTGCTCCTTCTCCACCGCCACCTCGCGCACACTCCGCTGTTGCCATCACTGCGGATGTAATTTTGTGTGCCCCCCTCTGCAGCGGCATGTGCGCCCGGGGACCCTCAGCTGGGGTTCCCAGGTCCACCATCAGCAGCTGCTCGCCAGCCACCAGCAAGCACAGCACCACGCCATCCTGCTCACCCATCAGGCAGAAGTCAGACACAGTACCCACCTCCTCGCCACTGGTGGAGGTGGCTACTGTTGAGAGGGAGTCGGGACTGCGCAAGCGAGAGAGGGGCCCCAAACACGCCACCCCTACGGCGCCCCCTGCGTCCAGCAGCACCACCCGCAGCCCAACCTCCTCCTCCTCCTCTACGCCCTCCACCTCGAACACCTCAGCTTTGTGCACGGTGGCGCTGGGCAGTTGCATTTTTATCATTCGGAACAGCTGCAACAGCTGCGGCAGAGCCTGCGGCTGCGTGCCCACGGCGCACATTTTCAGGATCTCCATGCTCTGGATGCAGAGCACAGATCCGTTCTCGGATATCACAACCAGCGTCTGGGATTCCAGTGAGTCGTCCGCGGCCAAGAACTGCATGTGGCAGATGCGGGTGGAATCTGCGCATGGACAGGTGGGAGTGGGGGAGGGGGAGTTGCAAGTTAAGAGGTGGGTGCACATGCGGTGCAGCTGGGGGGCGACTAGAAAACTGACCAGTGACGACTTTCTTCGAGAAAAGGAGCGATCCCTCAGTGGTGACGAGGTGCAGGGTCCCACTGGCGTCTCCCACGATCATGCAGCTTTCCGTCAAGTCCCAAGTCACGCAGACCACACTGGCGTTCAGCTCGATCTCAGCGACAGCCTGGTCCGCGTTCATCTGCGAGGCGTTGAAAATAGACAGAGCGCAACCCGAAGCAACCACGCTGTACTTGCTGCAGGAGCATAGCAGCTGGCTATCGTCGTTCCTCTGCTCGGCGTCCTCCCGGTCCATCCGGAAGCACTCCTCCGCCACCACACCGCTGAAGGCCGGAAAGCCCACGCCATCGGTGAAATTCATCTCCGCGCAGTCTCTACCAGAAGGGAGGGTCAAGCGAGTAGCGGTATTCCTAGATGATGGGATGGCCAGATTTGTGGAGCGTTGCCAGGCTCGTTGCCTGGCTCATCAGCAGCTGGTACCTTGAAAGGCTGGGATAGCAGCAGGATGTTGCTCTTCGCTTTGTGTTCGAATCAACGGATCAATTCCTCTAAAAGGCCCATCTCAATGCTTTATAAACATGCATAATTCGTAGTAATCATGCGCCGCGTCACTTTATCAAAGTGCGCGGGAATAGCTCAGTTGGTTAGAGCGTCGGTCTCATAATCCGGAGGTCGTGAGTTCGATCCTCACTTTCCGCAGATAGAATAACTTCTAATTTGAGGAAAATCCTTCCCCGAAAATATTTTTTGCCGTTTTTACCCAAGTCTGCACGCAGGCCTGATTCTTTTTGTTCATGTACTTTGTTTTATATATACTGATATATCACAATATTTTTTTTTGTGTTATATTTATCACAACTTAGTAAATTGTTAAGCTACTCAGTCGTTAGGAAACAATGTCAGCGGTTTTGACGCCAAAAACGCAAGAACAATGATATAAAAACAACATAATTTTACATTTAGATCACAGTTTACGATGTTATATAACTTTTACAGAACAGTTTAGTACATTAAACTACTCTCAAATATGTATGTTTTATCGTATTATGTGCCCGAAACGTAATTAATTTGTTTTTTATTTATCATTGTTTTTGCGTTTTTGCCGGCAATCAAAATTCGGGTTTGCGGCACCGCTGGAATTTGGAGACAGCTGGAACGCTGAGGAGGAAGACGTGAGGCAGAAAGCATACAGCTGCGGAGAGACTGGATGTGCAACAAGTGAGCCGAGCAGATCGATGGCGAGGATTCATGGGTGTTTGTCTGTTTACACCCTCGGGTGTGTGCTGATTATCTCCGACAGTGCTTGTCCGGATGGTATGTATCTGGATGGAGCGTATGTCGATGCCAAGCCCGTCGTCTATCATGCAGCAGGCAGCAGGTAGCACGGTACAGGCAGCAGGCAGCAAGCAGCAGGGTACAGGCAGCAGGGTACAGGCAGCAGCAGGAAGAGAGGGAGTAGACTGACTCCAGCAACCACTCACAGCAACAGCCCATCGGAGGAACTGCTCTCCCTTGCCCAACTCTTTATTTTCTCAATACAGTGTACTGCTTCAGCTTGCTGGCTGCCCGCAATCATTGGGCCAATCGATACTGGTACTACTAATATAGCAATGTAATGAACGCTCTATCCTCACTTCCCCTGCAGTGTTTCGTATACTTTGAGCTGGTCGGCCACCCCACCCTGCTGCTGCTTAAAAGGGTTCTTCAGAGAAGTATCCTCGCGCTTCACCACTCCCGGTCCCCCGTACGCCTTGAGCTGTTCTGCCAGAGAGCCCCCTTGCAAGCCATCCGATGCGAGGCCTCTGGCCCCTCTGTTTCCACCCAGATCTACAAGACGAACACCGCTCACAGCCTCCTTGGCGATTTTCGCATCTGCTGACTTCTCCCGACCTTCAGATACGTCCTTGTTCCGCATATCAATCGAAACCCCCGTCTTCGCGGCATCGAGGAAGTCTGTTTTGGACACTGCTGTTAACAGAGTGCTTTGGAGTGGTGCTCCTGCTGCATTCGCCAACTGCACATGCACACTACCAAACGACAGGCTAGTGTAAACAGCGACCCGTGCAAACTTTGACCGCCATTGTGACGCTACTGCTTCGCATTGCACTACCAGGAAAAACGAGAGTACAAGGTACCGGTAGGCCAGCATTCTGTTCAAGTTGCAGCGCTCTGAAGGATGCGGGTGAGACCCAGCAGGAAAGTGGCCTGCGCTTGGGTACTATTGAACGCTCCTCGACACCACCTCGACAGATGGCAGCTGATGCTCGAAGTGGACCACTCGATCTCATTGGAGTGCGGGAGGAGCAAGAACGAGTCATTCTCTTGTTGCTGGACGAGGTCTCGTGTCAGTTTTCTTCCCCGAAGTATCCCAGGTATCCGACTAGTTTGGTTCCGAGCCAGAATTACTTACCGGTACAGTGTTACAATGCTTGATCCCAGTGGGATCTGTTGATGAGCTGCCCACTTTCCAGCCCAGAACAGGATCCAAGCCCAGACCTGACCTCGATTCGGTGCAATCAGAGGTCTTCCGTAAACGCGAGGCTCCCGAGTGCGAACTGGAGTCGTGGGAGAAAGGGCAGCGCAGGTGACAGACTAGATGTTCTTGGCGATGAGACTGGTGCTCCTGGTGCTACTGAGTTTCGCCTGGACAGAGGCGTTCGACGTGACTGAGGGCTTCCACCACCACGCCAACGAAACAACGGACGTATCTTCTCTAGAATTCAAGGAAATCGCGCGCAAGACGTACAGCAAAGTGCTACCCTGTGTGGAGGGCGCGTGGATGTACAGTGATAAAAAGCCTACAATCGACTGGCAGTTCCCAGACGATGCGCAGCAGCACTTCGAGGAGATCCTCCGAGTGACCGAGCCATACAGGCAGGTTTCTGTCCACGAGTATGCTGGGTACGAGGGCCCGTGGATCGAGAACATGTTCATCTCGAAGTTCATGCACCTGCCTTTGCACAGGTACCGCGGGATGATCCCCATCTTCGTGCAGTGGATCGACTCGCAGATCCTAAGAGGCCGGCTGTTCGGCAACCTCAACAACGCCCTCAACGGCGTCTTACGGCCCAACGTGCTCTACTTGGCGATATCGCAGGGGGACGCCGGCCTCTCCTTCATCGGCACCAGCCACCCCAACATCCTCGTCATGTCCGCAGGGGGCTTCGGGCACATCCCCATCCCCCTCATCAAGGGCGAGCTGCCCCTCCAACCCCACCCAGAAAATTTCGATTTCGACTTGGGGTTTTACGGAAATCCCAGACAGCACCCGCGGGAAGAGATGCTGCCCTTTTTGCGGCAGCGCTCTGGCGAGATGGGTCTGAAGTACAACCAGGCGCAGGGTGGCGACTGGCTGCACGACATGAACCGCACTAAGTACAACCTTGCGCCCCGCGGATACGGCCGGTCCTCATTCCGCTTTGCAGAGTGCATCCAGATGGGGCGCATGCCTGTCTTCATATACGATGACATGCCTTGGATCCCCTTCATGAGTACCAACCTCAGCCTAGAGACCTTCGGCTTCGTCATGCGCAAGTCGAACGACGGACAGGAAAATCTGGAGCAGGTGCTCAGCGCGATTAAGAACACCACCGAACCGGAGTACCGCGAGAAGCTGGTGCACCTGCTCAGCATTAGGTCACACTTCACGTACCGAGGCGTGTTCAGGCAGATAATGATGTTCTTGCACGATCCCTTCGGTGCAGATGGGGGACACCTCAGATGCACCTACCACGCCCGCAATCAGTTCTGCTGCGGATAACCACCGCTCCTTCTGATCTTTGCACCGTCTTCGGTCTTCGCTCATTCGTCATAAATTTCTATCTTTTAATGTATATAATATCACATATGCAGATAATAGACTTTAACTACAACTAACCCACATTCGGTCACCAGGTTTCGCCAGTGGCGAGACCACCATATCAAAAATTCTCCATGATTTACACGGGAAGGAGGCTATTACAGTTTAGATATGGAGGAGCTGCTTGCGGCTGTGGTATCCAGCAGTTTGCGCAGCCTGAGCTTCGTTATTTTGTCCTGCTCCCCCGCAGCCACCTGCACCTGAAGCAGCGGCAGAGAATTGAGGAGAAGATTAGTAAGAATCTAGCATTTCTTGTCGATCATTCTAGGGCTTCTGATATGATGCTGCTGCATCGACGGACTCTTGTCTCACCTCTGTGGCGCTGTCATTGGGCATCCTCGCCTGCAGCGCGACAACCATCTCCGCTGCACTCTTGCCGGTAGCACAGATGAGAAATATGAACCCCTGCTTATCAAGGTACTCTGTGTTCAGCCGCGCCAGCTGTCGGAGCGTTTCCTCGCTGGCTGCGTTGGCGCCCTTCTGCTCGTCTCCCTCCCACGCACTGTTTGCAAACTTGCTGCGCAGGGCCGCGGCATCGCCTGATAATGACAGAGGTTAAGTATATAGTCAGATGTGAAGTATGTAGTATCGGGGTGCTTGCTTGGCTCCCATATCCATCAATTAGGTGCTGTTGATGAACAAGTTATGCGGATGAGCTGCCGAACGCAACAACACACCTATTTGGGGGTGCGCCGAGAAGGCCATCTGCCACTCGCTTACTGGCAGGTGCCACCACACGAGGGAGGCAGTGTCAAGCAGCGAAGCATATGATGTGAAGGGCAACTTCTCGATCATTGCTTGTCCCCATGCTCGGGAGCCACAGCATCGCAGGAACTCGGCCTCGAGGCTGGCCTTGGGGAGGTGGTTCACTTCGAAGAGCTTTCGCTCCAGATCCGCGGCTTCCGCGTCCATTCTTGCGCCGGGCGACCTGCGCTGCAGAGGTGCGTGCGTCTCTCACTGAGTCCACGCGTTCCAAAAATGAAGCATCCAAGCACATAGTGTCTGAGATGAGAGCAATGGGGAATGATGGCAAGATCAAAATCACATTACAAGTTTCAGGGTTGGAGATTTCCGCCGCAATAACATAACCGTCGCAAGCAAGCATGCGCGTTTGAAAGGGCGGGGCAGATGACCGACGGAAGGCTTCTCGTAGCCGCCGTGCAGTTAGTATCGGTCGGTGAGGATGATGGGCAGCGACTCAGACGCCTCGGAGGCGTACGACTGGCCTGAGGACCTCGCCATCGCGCGCAAGCTCTCCGCCATCGAGCAGGAGATGCTCTGCCCCATCTGCGCAGGATTCGTCAACAACCCGCACATCCTAAATTGCGGCCATTCCTACTGCTCGATTTGCATCCGCAAGCACTTCGACGCGACGCTCAACCGCACCAGCGCGGGGATCTGCCCTTCCTGCCGGGAGAAGGCTGATTCCTTCGACTTGAAGAAGAACACCACGCTCGCCTCGGTGGTGCGCCAGTTCCGTAGCCTGCGCAAGGATCTGATGGAATTAATCCAGAACAAGGGAGAAACGTCGTTGGGCGGTAGCGGTAATAGGTTGAACGCGGGGGGCGCCACAGGAGCAGGAGCAGTTGAAAGGGCTTTGGCAGAGCCCAAAAGCGAGGGCACTGCTATCACAGAACGGCACCCGCACTTCGCCCCCCACGGCCAGAACCTGGCAGCCGTCAAGAAGTATATAAACAAAGTAGAGGGGAACTCTCGCGTACGGCTGCGCATGGATGGGGACAGGGCGGCGCTGGAGCGGCGACTGCGCGAGGTAGTGCACCTCATCAACGCGCAAGTGGACAGCCCCACACCCCTCACTCTCGAGCAGGCCATCCGGCAG